GAATCTTAAAAAATAAATTTATATTTTTTATGGTCCTTTAAGATTTTCATATATAAATTGTAAATTTTCTTTGAAATTTAGATAAATCTGAAAATTTTAATTTAGTTCAAATTTTTACTAGTTATCAGTTTAGATTTAAATTAATATTTTAAGATTAATAAACTGAACTGAATTGAATTGAAATTTCTGTTTAAAATTTTACCTTTTATCTAATATAGATTTTTTTTATTTTTATTTTATTTTCTATTTTTTTTTTATTTAATATTTTTAATTTTTTTTATTTCTTATAAATTTTTTTGGATTTTTCAGTTAATAAATAAGTTTTTTTATATTTTATATTTAATTTATATTTATATTTATTTTTTTAATTTTTATTTTATTTATTATATCAGTTAAATAAAATCTTTAGTGAAAAGAATGATAAACAAATAGTATGTATAAATTTAAATTTTAAAATGCAAATTATTTTTATTTATTTAAAAGCGATACTAATGTAATTTTTTATTATTTGATTAATATTTTGTGTGTGATCTCCTTTTGCATTGATTTATATTTTAATTCATTTGACATAATATTGAGGCATTTAAATAAGAATTCTATAATATAGTTAATTCTATTTCTATCAGATTTTATTGAAAAAAATCTCACAAAAGATTATTTTATTTTTTTTGCAACCAATTCTTAATCTTAATCTTTACTTTTTCTATAAAATTGCCTATATATTTTCAATAAGATTAAGTTTGAACTATATAAAGGTCAAGAAAGACTCATTTTAGATAATGTTCTTTAAAATTATTTGAATATTTTATGAGATGTAGTTAAGATCATATCTTTGTTAAAAGATTTAATTTTGACTATATAATATATTTATTATTTGATTTGATAATATAAATAATGAAAAAATGGTAACACTATAGCAAAAAAAAGAATTTAGTATTTTTTGCTATTCTTTTCATCATAGACATAAGTGATTTTATTCATTTTCATTTTTTATCTTTTTTCAGAAAATTTTTTAAATTACATTCATATTTTTTTTTAATTCTTTTATAATAGCAAGAAGCAAATAGAAAAGGAACTTCTATCTTTATTAGTTACTTTATAATTATTCTATTTTAAAATAAAATTACTTAACTTTTTATATATTTTTAAATTTTAATTATAGAGAAAGGGAATAGTTAATTTTTTTTTATTATAATAGAATATTTAAGAAAAATAAATAAAAGAAACAGGTAAAAAAATCATAAAATTTTATTAATTAAATAAATTGCTTATATACAGTACATATACTGGGTATCCAGACAGACGTTTGCTGAATCTGTTTCACCAAAACCCACTTTGCTGAAACTAATTCACTGAAAGGACTCTTCGTTGAATAACCACTTTGCCAAATGGATTTTCACTGAAAGACGTTTTCACCAAAATACTATTTCACTGAAAGGACACATCACCAAAATGTCATTTTTCTGAATGACATTTTGCTGAATCCTTTTTGCTGAACGGACACATCGCTGAATCTGTTTCACTGAAAGGATGTTTCGCTGAAAATGACTACTGCATAATATTTGTTTAACTTATCATTTTTAGGTTCTACATTATAAAGTAAGTTTTTCTTAATAATTTCGTTAGAAATAATAAAAAAAGTTCAATAAATCTAGCAAATTATTAACAACAGCGAATTATTTTCATTTTTGGCAAAATATCTTTTCAGTGAAATGGATTCAGTGAAGTGTCCATTCGGCAAAATGGATTTGGCAAAACATAATTTCGTTGAAGCATCCTCCCAGTGAAATGTTCATTCGGTGAAACTTCTTTTCAGTGAAAAGTCCATTTTGGTGAAATGGACATTCGACAAAGTGGCCGTTCGGCAAAATGTCCTTTCAGTGAATTGGCTTCAGCAAGGAGGGTTTCAGTGGAACAGGTTTTGGCGAAACGTACCGTAACCCAAGTACTGTAGATAATAGATACATAATTTGTATAAAATTCAGATTTTATCTAAAGTTCAATTTCAGATATTTCAATTTCAGACGGCCTCGTGTCTGAAATTCAAGATTCTTTCTGAAGTTTAATTTCAGATATCCCAATTTCAGAGGGCCTCGTGTCTGAAATAGTTACACAGATATTGATCAATAAGATCATGTCCCGAAATTGGAACGAAAATCAATTTCAGTCACAATCAACAAATTACCTAAATTCAAGTACTTTTATGTACCAACTTGAAAAGTTACTCTGCCATGAGTATCGAATAACAAATGACGCCAGTGTATTCGATTACCTAACTAATAAAAAATATCTGCGGTTAAGTTATTCATACATAATTTCTTCTTCATTCGGGAATGGATGATGATTTTTTGAAAATAAAAATACAAAGCAATATAGAGAAGTTCCCATTTGAAAAATTAAATATAGTTTAAAAACTTTATAAATTTATTAAAATAAAAATACTATTGAAGGTGGAAATAAAAATCCGTTTTGACTATTTTGAATTTATTTTCCGATTTCTATAAGACTTTACTTTTTATGACTTACATTAAAGCAAATAGGCTTTTTTTAGTCTATTCCGGAATATGTATGCATTCGATTATTCAACGCCCAGCGTCGCCCCTAAAAAATGGTATCCGGATTTATTTGCCGGGTCACATATCAAACAAATTTGTCCTTAGTAAAATGAACTAATCCTATTCTACTTTTAATACTAATACTAATACTAATACTAACCTAATTCCCTAATAATAAATTCCCTGCAAAACATATCCGGCTACCATTTTTTCCGACGCTATTTATGTCGCACTCGATCACAAAACATCAATTGAGAGGATCATAGTCCACTGCATATTCTAATTGTAGTATATCATCGTTAATGCTTATCACATGAAAACCATCATATATCAAATATATAATTGGTTAACGTTAAAGGTCTAATTACCCGTTTTAAAATTATGTATGATCATATAAAGAAACAATTGAATAAATCTTTTATTTCTTTATTTTTATTTAATTTTATAATGAATCTCAAATCACGTTAGTTATTAAGCCGCCACAATATATTCACAATTATTATATGATCGAAGAAAAGCAATATTTTTGATAAAAATTGATAATAAATGATGTTAAAGGAAATTCTGAAATATATTGGAATATTTAGTTAGCTAAACCGTGAAAATGTTCACGTAAATAATATTTCACAACAATGTATTCGCTGCGGAATTGATTTCATGCATCAATATCTTAAATAACCATAAGATATTAATTTCCCTACTGTCCATGTTATTCTAAGTATTCTACCGATTAATTCTTTGCAAATGTTGTTTTGTTGTCATTCAAAGTGTTCTTCCATTAAGTCGATTCTTCAACATGGGATCCGCGTCGATTGCATTCACGATTTTATTATTGTGAAGGTAAAAGAATATAGATTTTATTATATACAGTATTTCATGTGTTAGAAATATTGAGGAAAAATGTTCTTAAATATATTTGAAATACTTTGAATTAATGCATATTTAACTAATACAATAACAAGCCGCACGATTTCCAGATTACTATTTCTTAGAAATAATCATTTGCACCTAAAATATACTAAATCAAAAAGACAAAAAATAAAAGTATGAACTTTATAAAGTATATTTAATAGATGGAAAAAAATTATTTGGACACGTTACCGAAAAATTTATATGGCTCTGATGGCAAAAGGTATGAAATAAAATAATAAAAGTGCATTGAGTGGTATAAAATTTCTGCAGAAGAGACGCTGGCTGGCTCACAATATTTTTTGCGTTTATTGCTATCAGAATGGTTTAGGAATAAATATTAATGAAGAGGTGTTATTAGAATGATACGTAAAATATGCTGAAGTAGCTGGTGCGTACGAACATAGTAACAAAGTGATTGATTGGTATTCAAAATAGGTCATTTCAATTTATACCTTTAGCGGATGTCCGTTCAAATTAGACGGAAATGGACTTATTAATTTAAGATTTAAAATAATTTATCAAAATTTTTACATAATTAGTAATTTTTTATGTAAATTTAGAATTAAAAGTTTTAAATTCTTTTTTGGTAAAGTATGAATATTCTAACATTTAAATATTTATATGTTATTTACTTACAAAAATCACCTTTTTTTATGCCAAAAAATTTTTCTACACCATTAAGGATAATTAGTCCGGAACGAAGTGTCTAAGGTTACACGAGGTGTCCCGCTCAATAATTTAGTCGATGCTGATTGGCTCTTGCAATTGCAATAAAGTCTGGATTAGGGTTTCCGTTTGAAATACAAATTTTATTATATTTGAAAAAATAAAAAAAAAATAATATAAAAAAAATTTAAAGAAAAGAAACGATCGAAGAAAAAAAAAATATTAAATTAAAAAAAAATAAAAATCGATCGATAAGATCTGATTATGTATTTTCGAATATTTGAATTTTATTTATTTCGTTATTTATCATTTAAATCATTAAATTTCCATGTAATAATATCTGAAAAGCAATTTGGTGAAAATCACATATAATTTATTCCCTAAACCGTTGAGAACAGCGCCAAAGAGTGGATTCTCTCAATGGCAGTAAATAATTTATTAAATTAATATGAAAGTTTAAAACATGTTTGAAGGTAGTGCCAACGTATTTGTAATTTTGAAACTGAAACGGTTCAAGAAATTTGTCCTTAAATTGACATATTAATACACATTATACGTCTTTGATTTTTTTACATATATCGCGACATTAAGAAAGTTTTAAGTTAAATAAAATCAATAAAATTTATTTAATACTCACAATAAAAATTTCTAATAATTATGTTTATATTAATGATCTTATGTCGATAAAATAAATATTAATCTATATGACTTACATAATAAAGCATACATTAGTAAGAAGATAAATTAAAAAGGGGAAAGGTCGAGTTACTTGTAGTAAATTTTTTTTATCAAAAAAAGAAGTGATTAACGGTTACGAATGACGTTACTATGGAATTTTAGGAAAAAAAAATCCTCTGAATATAGTGATTACTTATTCAAGATATCTTCGATGTTATTAAAAAATTCCTTTGAAGGTTCTTCTTTCAATTTTCCCAAACGTTTAGATATCGGATCATCTTTTGTAGCGGGAAGGTATTGTTTTCTATCTCTATCTATGTGATAGCGTCTTTGCAACTCTGATTTCTTAGGTTCCGAAAGTTCCTTCCACCATTTGGATACCAATCTACTATATTCGGTCATTGGCATATTATGAGGCTTTTTCTTCATCATTTCTTTGCGATAGGTGATGAAAATATTTGCCAACCTCTTTTTTGGTGTTGTTGCATTACTTTCATTAAAAGTATATTGGAAGACTTTGAGTTCATCACTCATGGTTTGAGTAATATCTAAATATAAAGTAATGAGATTTTATTGATGAAATTTGCAAAGATTAACGATGAAAGATTAATTGTAAAAGACATATAAGAAGAAAGGTTCCATTTGCCTTAATTTATACTTACGAAATTGTTTTTACATTATGTCATTTCTTTTATCTTGATAACATCAAATCAATACACAACATGAGCGCGGATGATTATTCTGCTTGTTTTTCTTTTTTTTTCTTTTTTTGATTCAAACCTAGAATTTGTTTATTTTATCAATGAAATATATTTCTACTTTCAATTATTCTAATCCAAATGTGTTACGCCCGAAATCATATGCAGATCAATTTAAAATATTTAAAATGGGTAGTTTAAAGTACTTTTTCAGAAAATGGTGGTGTTACATTTAGTAAAAAAAAAAAATTTTTTTGTTTTACCGTTTGATTCTTTGGAACGTTTAATAATCCTGGTTTTAAAAGAGTTTTGCTTCGAGGTGACATACTATAATAACGAAGCTTAAAGGTCTATATTGTTATAAAACTTGTTTTAAACTTCTAATAATCCAAAAAAGTTTTATAATATGAAAAGAATAAACCAATATTGTATATGGTCTAGATCATGTGATCATAGTACTTATTATAGAAATGTTGATCAATATTTTAATGAATGCGAAGATCGTTTTTGAGATATGCGCTTACCCCAAATGTGTAATTTCTCAAATTATGACTTGGGAGAACAGTCCGGATAACCGAAATGACCACTTCGGATATGCTTCGAACTGTCATTTTAAATAACTTGTTTATTAAATTGCAAACTTTTCATTTTATATTTTGTTTCAAATAAATTAAATTAGCAAAAACTTAAAAATACAAAACTCTATCTTTATTTAAAATTGTAACAAAAACTTTAGTGCTATTTGGAAATTCCGTAATTGTCCTTTAGAATATTCGAAGTGGCCATTTGAGATAACTGAAGTGGCTATCATTTGAGTTCATTTGAGGTATCCTAAATGATCATTTATAGGATATTTTCCCGCAATCCGAATTAAGATTTCCGAAAAGGTTTCGGACATTAACGCATTTAGCTACAACAAGCTTTGACTAATTTCGGGGAAATGCAAAAATGAATTTTGCTTAGTAAGTTGTAAAGCAGATTATGTTTACATGACCAGATTATGAATTTCTAACCTTTTTAAGTTTAAATCAATAAATATTAAAAATTATTCAGATACCTTTCTAAAAATAAACTAATTGTCGTCATTTTTATAAACTAAAGTGATCGCAAATAGACAACTAAATAAATTTATTCAAATGCAAATTTCTACTAATTGATTGATTTATTTATTAATCAATAAATATGTCTACCAAAGCTTTTGTTTAGCGAATTTTCAAACTATAACGAATTAATGGTAGATGACGTTTAATTATAAATTAACTGTCTAAATTTTACTAAGCAAAAAAACAATTGATGAAATATTTCGACGTAAAAACAAGAGCTTTTCGATTTGGAGTAAATTTTAATGTAAATCGCTGGTTAAATTTATCTATTTCATTAACTGGTTATGTATTAGAATTTTTTACTTATTGAAAAAATCTAGACTGATTTTTGTAAAAACCGTTTTATTAATATATTCCAGAAAGGGAAGAAATGAAAGGATGCATTATTCATTACTCCAAGAAAATGAATTACTAAATGAGAACTATATAAGAATGATGTATAGGATGTTACTAAAAAAGGTGATCCGACAATGATTACCTGTTTATGGGAACTAACAATGGGAAACGTTTTTTTTTTTTTTTACACATAATCGACCATTCAAACTAATAAAGCGCAGCATATCGGAAAAACAAATAATGAGATAATTTTTCAGGGCTCCTGTTTTAGCATATTCAGAATAAAGATATCCGCATGAAAGAGAAATCAAATGTTATAAGAAATGTCTATTCTAAAAAGTAAATTTTTTTTTTTTATGCATGTGGGCTCCTTATTATATTTTTTTAGGAACGAGTGAATGAAGCGTTAGTGTATCACAAACAAATTGACGGTGAGGCATGACGTTATCGTTCGATATATAAAAATTCGAATCTCCTTTTTTTTATATAACATACAGTAATTAAGTAATCCAATATTTACTGTATATCATTCAGCGATGGTTCTATTGAAAAAATTACAAAAAGAACACCAAGATCAAGCAAACTTTAATTAACTTTCGACATTGACCCTCATAACAATCTAAAGGTTCCGAAGAATTTCCACTCAAGAATGACTTTGAAACGATCAACAACTCAGTATACAGTAATTAAGAGGAAAACCTACATGACTCTATATTAGCTCAATTATGGAAGGATATTGTCATCATACAAATCCTTCTCCTCCATTTCCAAAATCTTATTTGATCATTTCTAAAGCATTCTTAAATAAAAGAACGGACTTCCTTGAAATCCGACAACCATACCATAATCTCGACATCATAATCCGGTCGGTCATACTTTTTACGAAATAGAAAGAATATTGATACTAATATTAAATATAGTTACTGATTTACGTTAGTAAGCAAAGGCGGTTTTGTGTCATAAAGTGATAATCCCGACTTCAAATAACCCAGCTCAGAGCATGTACAAAAAATAAAAATATTAAATTTCTAGTATTTTCAGTGTTAATATTAATCTTAAAATTTTGTGTCAAATCACATCCAATTAAGGTAAATGCTGAACTAAATATAATTTATAAATTGATTTATTCACTCAGTATTCTATTATCATCTGTAATTTATTGAATTAAAAGATACACTTCTCCATTACCTATTTAATAATTTTTTGAATTTGTTAAATTTAGTAATATTTTTTTAATTAAAAACTTTTTAAATTAAACCAACTTTTCAATTTTACAATTTTAATGATTTTAAAAATTACATTTTCTTCAAAATAATTCAAAAGATTTTTTTTTTATGTGTGTAAAATTAGAGTTTAAGGTAATATTAATTTAAGTAGAGCTTAGGTTAGGATTAGGGATGCTAATGGTCACGGTCATGACCGGTCTTAACCGGTCATAACCGTGACCGATATCGGTCGGTCAAAGGCTTTTGACCGACCGGTTGACCGACCGGGATTCTGACCGATTTTGACCGACTGACTTGAGACTGAACAACATGTTTTAAATAGTAAAAACACTTTGTATTAAATTAACAAAATCAACATTTTTATTTTAATTATCTATAAATTAAAATTTTTAAAATTTAAAAAAATTAAATTCCGCGATAATGTTGCGCTATGAAATAAAAATGACGAATTAATTTTAAACAAATGTCATACTAATATTGAAGCAAGAATCAAATTATAATTGACTAAATTAAAATTTCTATTAAGTCAAAACTGTTCAATTATATTATTATTAACCGGTCGGTCAACCGGTCAGTTAAAATCGGTCAGTTAACCGGTCGGCCTTTGACCGACCGTTGACCGACCGTTGACTGACCACGACCGACCGTTACCATCCCTAGTTAGGATTTGTATTAGGATCAGCGTTAGGTTATCATAATGTAATTATTTATTTAGAAATATGTTTTAAAATTTACACTTCAAAAATTGATGACCAAGAGTGCATGTTCTAATATTAGTATAGTTAGTTGATTCCTTAAAATTTGAAATTTTATTCGTTGGTAATTATTTGCGTTAATACAAGTATCACGTAGGCCCAAATAAATTTGCTTTTGATAAAAAAAATTGTAATAATTCAAAAATTAAAAGTTAATAAATGTCTTTTCTTTCTATAAAAAGCATTTATTTACTAAATTTATAGGAGTAAAATTTAGGATAGGAACGTCCTTATCGTTTATAAAAAAACCTAAATTACCATTAAGGGTAGATTCAAGACGTGGTTGTTTACTTCTCCTACATTTACTTTGTTTACCAAGTGTAACGGTAGAGTTTAGTTCTCCAACTAATTCAAGACCTACTTTTAAAAGAGATTTATTAAATATGCTAAGACCAAAAGCCAATTGTGGTTTTAATGCAGTTAAAATTGTCACTTTAGATGGAGTGCTGATCTCAAGCTTCGGTTTATGTAAGTTAACCTCAGGGATAAATCCAGTTTGATTAAAGATTGGCTCATTAACAAATGTGGCATTTACATTAAATTTTGGTAAACTAATATCTCCACCAAAATTTATTGTTACGCTTACGTTGCCAGAAATTTCAGTTGTAGCAACTAGATCAATTGACGGTCCAATATTAAATACACCTGGCACACCAAAAATAGGAAGCGGTAAACTGGCAAGAAGGATTTCACTGGGTTTAATGTCAGCATTACCGACAAGGGAAATATCCACGTTTAATTTAACATTTCCATCAAGTGCAAACGTAGCATCGGTAAATTTAATCTCAGAGTCAACAAATTCGCCAGCAACTCTCAATGAAACTGTAGCTTCACCATCCATAAAGCAATTTGAGCAAAGTATTTTGGCACCCGCGATATCTGTAAATAGAATATCTGGATTTGATGATTTCCCTGTTGCTTCATCAAACAAAACGTTCAAATCTAATGTATTTGTTCGGTTAATTTCCGGGAGGTCGATCCTTCTATAAAGCTTTTCTGGATTTTCATTTTCCCATGAAACATCAAAAAGAAATTCTTGGGACCAATCTTGTATATTACATCTTTCAGTAGTTAGAGTGACTTTTTTATTCGAGGCATCAACAATTTTATCTTTTACCATAACAAATTGTGTTGTGGATTTACCAAAACATTTCCATTTGTGTGATATTAATAACATTACTTTGTCGGGCCATTGATTAACTTTATCAACATCATTCCCTCGGAGTGTAATTTTATCGTCATCACAATCAATACCAGTAATTCCACTTTGATCAAGATTTAATGAAGGTACTTTGGTCTTAAAATAAATATCTGCTTTATGGTACCCTCCAATCTTGGATTCTTGCTGTCTATAAAATCCACGAAGGTTTGTTGAAGGTTTGAGCCCTTGATTACTTTGGATAACATTGAAATCTTTTGAGAACACAATTTCTATCATTATGATTCCAATAAACAAAAGGAGTAAAAATGGTTTTTCAATTAGTTTAAACATTATGTGTGTTTTTATAAAATAAAATGCTGGATGTAATAGTTATCTAATTATAAGGAAATTTGAAGGAACGTAAAAAGATGAAATAGGAATGATGTCTATATAATCAATATATAGTTTACTTTGGTGGATTGAAGTGTCGCGTCTAACCTATATAATCAATATATAGTTTATTTAGGTGGATTAAGTGTCGCGTCTAACCTATATAATCAATATATAGGTTATTTAGGTGAAAATATTATCTTTAGGTTTGAAGGTTTTTTTTTTAAAAAAATAAAATTGCATATTATATATACCATAATTAAATATTTCGGGGATGTTCCCCTAAATTTTGTATGTGTGACAAATTTTGACAAAAAAACGTTGTTGCTCATCTATCTACTACACACGACGTTGTTATTATTTAAATATTTGTGTCTTTTAC